CCGCCCTCGTTTCCTCAATAACTGCAACCGTTTTTTCAGAATCGCCGATTGAAATTTGGCAATTTTTGAATTTTACAAGATCTAATAGTTGAAAATTGGTCGAAAATGTCAAAAGTGCCAAAATCAGTTTATCTTATCAAATACTAGGCCCGCCCACCCGCCCTCTATTTTCTTGGAAGGTATGTGATTTGCCAAAATCAGTCTTATCTTAGCAAATACTAGCCCCGCCCACCCACCCTGTTCACATTCTAACGACTAATTTTATTTGTGTTCAGTATAAAATCATTCATTTCATTCAGAGAGGATAAAATCAATCACTGAAAAGAAGTCAGGGTGGGTGGGCGGGGCTAATTATCATCTTTTGTCGAGTGGGACACTTTCTTGTAGATTAAGACCTACAGAAGTTTCTTTTGCCCTGATTTCTTTTATAATTTTTAGCATTCTTCCAGATTTTCAAAACGAATATTTTAAAAATCTTGCCCCGGGACCATAAACACGCTATATTTTTGGAATTAGCACATCCCTGAATTTTTTAGGATTTTCGACCATTTTCGAACCTCAATCAAAGACATTTTATTTTAGTTTTAGATATACAGAAATTAGTTTCAGTCCCATTTTTTCGATAACTTCTACTATTTGTTTAGAATGGCCGATGAAAATATCTCAATTTTTGAAATTTTTACAAAATTTTGTTTTCAGATCGAATATTTCTAAAATAGTCCTCCGTGACCATAAAATCGCTATCTTTTCAGAATCAGTGCGTCGAAATCTATATCCCAGAATTTTTTGGGGATTTTTAGACCAATTGTCCGAAATTGAAATTTTTCGAATTTATTCCATAACCCCTTCTTCACATTTCGACCAATTTTCAACCAATTTCGAAACTTAAATAGAGACATTTTCTTGTAGACTTGGACTTCTAGAAGTCACTTCGGGTCTCGTTTCCTCAATAACTCCAATCGCCGATCGAAATATGGCAATTTTTGAATTTTACAAGATGTCCTAGTAATTGAAAAATGGCTGAAAGTGCCAAAATCAGTTTATCTTATCAAATACTAGTACCGCCCACCCGCCCTCCATTTTCTTAGAAGGTATGTCATTTGCCAAAATTAGTCTTATCTTAGCAACTACTAGCCCCTCCCACCCGCCCTCTTCTCATTGTAACGATAAATTTTATTTGTGTTCAGTACAAGATCATTCATTTCATTCAGATAAGATAAAATCAATCACTTTCCTCATGTACTTGTGGTTTATGAATCTACCTTGATTTTGTTTATTATTATTTAATTTTTTTATATTTTCATCCGCCTTTTTTAGGAACATAGTACACAACCGTGTTACAACGTAATAAAATTAATCACTCTCAAATTTTTTATTGATCAAATTAAGAACAACCATTTTCCCAAAAATGTCTTTATATAATAATGATAAAATAAAAATTATAATATTAATATTCACAACATTTTGCTCCATTGTGGCTCAATTAATGATTGTAGTTCTCTGTTTTGAGAGTACAAATTCGTTGAAATTAAACAAATTGCTAATTGTGGTATTTTTTCGATATAAACATAAACAATCGAAGTTAAGCAGTTACACAGCCTCCGATCAAGTTTTTTTGACCACTTTCCCGAATTGCCTATTTTTTGCATTTTTCTGAACTTTTTTGTTGTGTTTTTGTCCTTTTTTTATCGTTCTTTTTGCACCTTATCTAGCCGTATTTTTTTCATTTTTTGTCCCCTGCTTCTGTAGTCTTTTGTGTGGAATCTTGGGAGCGTTTTTTTGTTCTCTTATTTGATAAAATTTTTTGTTGCCTCTTTGACTCCCTTAAAGAAAGGACCAAGTACTCGTATTTTTGTGGCATTTTAGGTCCCTTTTGTATAGCGCCCTTTATCTCGTTTTCAATAGATTTTTTGTCGTCTGTTTTCAAACTTTTGCTCATCTTTTTTTTGGAATTTTGTCTTTTTATTGTCTTTTTTGTGACCTATTTTGACTCCGTTCTGCTAATCGCATTTATAACTTTTTGTAATCGTTTTTTGTGACAATTTTTTTAGTAGATTTTTTTATCGCAATTTTGTGAAATTTTTTGTCGCCAAATTTTTTAATTCCCATTTTTGGTCACTTTTTGTAGTCGCTTTTTTTTTGGTCTGCTTTTTTGTTGTTTTTTTCCCATTTTTTGCGTCCTACCGTTGCGAAATGTACGGGAAAAAAAGTTTAGTTAAATTTCGAAAATGCTCTAAGATGGGGCAAACTTTGAAAATTTCATTTTTGAAAAAATTGTTTAAAAATTCCCAAAAAATTCAAGGTGATAGCTCTCGACGTGCTGATTCCCAAAAAATATAGCGTGTTTATGGTCCCGGAGCAAAATTTTCGAAATAGTCGTTGTGAAATACGAAATTTTTGAAATTTCTAAAAATTTCAATATTTCAATGGGCGATTTCGGAAAAACGGTTGGAGTTATCGAAAAATGAGGCCGAAAGTGACCTCTACGACCGGAAATCTACGAGAAAATGTGTTTACTTAAATTTAGAAAATAGTGAAAAATGGGTCGAAATTGGCATGAGGGTGGAAAATTTCATTTTTTAAAAAGTTGTTTAAAAATTCTCAAAAAAGTCAAGGATATAAATCTCGACGTGCTGATTCCAAAAATATAGCGTGTTTATGGTCACGGGGCAACAAATACGAAATATTCGGTGTGAAATACGAAATTTTTGGAATTTTTAAAAAGTTATCGAAGGAATGAGGCCGGAAGTTGCGTCTGCGACCCGAAATCTACGAGAAAATGTGTTTAGTTAAATTTCGAAACTGGTCGAAAATAGGTCGAAATTTTATTTCTGAAAAAGTTAGATATCGAAAATCTGGTCTATTTGAAAAATGTGAGACAAGAATTTTTTAAAATTATGATATTCTAGAATTTTTTATAAATATATTGTGTGTACTAAGGCTCGATTTTATTAAGGTCACAAAAGAAGCGTACTTTTGTTTGTCTGTACCCCATTGCAGGTTTTTTGCGAACGTTTCCAATTAGAAAAAAAAAAAAGAAAATTGGAATAATTTGGCAACGTCGCATCAGAATTTCAAAAACAAAATATATTTCTAAAACATAACAATATCTACATATCTAGCGTGTCTTTTTTAAAGACTGTGTCGTATTTTCACCTGAAAATAAAAGTACAGAGTATCCTATTATTTATAGTTGTAAATAATTTTAGATTGCGTTCTAAAGAGTCGTACAAATTTACCCTTTACATTTTTTCGGCTTCTAATGTAATTATCTAATTTTAAACAAAACCATATTTAATAATTTTTTAAAACGACGTCAAAGGAAATGTATATATATACAGAAAGTTTGACGACTACTTTAACGTATACTTAAAATTTCAAGTAATCGGTTCGGTGATTTGGACCCTGTTACAATGTTTTTCTTACCCATCGCTTGCCTTGATCCGGACCGGCCATGAAACCATACCTGAAAAAACATGTGTATGCTTTTCACATGTATTATTTTTAAATACTAAACCCTCAATTATTGCCAATTTTGTTAATCAAAGCGTAGTAATCTATAAATAACATTCTTTAATAAAAAACTTATTACGATAAAAAAGATGGCGGAAAAGGGTTGAAATTGTACGCTTTTTTTGTGATAACCAAAAAAATTGTAAACCCTAACATGCTTCCGGGCGCTTTAAACAAATTTCTTTGTTTTACTTAATTGGGTCGAAAGCAGTCGCTTTCGGAATAAAAAATTATCGTTCCATGTAATAATAATCAATTTAAACAGGCGGGAAATAAAAATTAAATGGTGAAATTGGACAACGTTTTAATTGGTCCATTTCTATTCCGCGCAATTAACAGTAACGTATTTTCACAGTAAGACAAATTAATTGCTTTTCAACATGTGCTTTGACTAAAATAATTATTTAATTCATCCGAAAAAGGTTCGAACGCACATTTAAGGCCGGTATTTAGTTTATTAATTTAAAACGGGATTATGCTGCAACAAAACTGTGGTTATTTATTCAAGAATTCGAGTTTGGCGGGAGTGCTGGGAGCCGGAGTAAAATATGTAATTTGATAAGAAGAGCAAATACTCAATTCATCGTTAAAACACGGCACATTAATTCTTGCTTTTTTAACAATAAGAGGGAAGCTTCAAACTAAGACAAACATTGTGTTATGAGTTTATTTTATTTTCCTTTGTTAAATATCTGCCCGGACATAAATTTCATTCCTGCGAATTATGAGAAAATATTTAAAGTCTGCGCAAAAGCCGGATCGCGTTGACTCCCCGTATCTAATTTTTTTACCTCAGGAGCTTAGATTTTTTGCGGGATTTGGTGTTCCGCAGTTGTGACGTTACCGGAAATATTTCATTTCGAGTACAATTTAAAAGAGTGCGTGCTGCTAATTGCGCAATTTCTGTCTGTACTAACTTACTCATTCTCGTTTCTGCATAAAGTTTAAACCTCGTACCTTGTGGTATTGAGGGTGCTTTCGAGTAATCACATAGAAGTTTTATGAGAGCAACTTATTATTACGAGACAGCATCAAAAGAGTTTTATGTCTCTGAAAGCTCAAAGTATTTATAGCGCTTTCCACTCAATTATTCAAACGAAAAGAAAGGAAATTAGCAGATGCGTTTCCGAATTCTAGCGGTACAGCTCCGGGCCATGCACTGTTATCCGGATGTCAGCTTCAAAGTACCGTAAACCAATGTTACCACCCGCAGTGCTGCAAAGCTAGCCCTCGTATTCGCATATCTAGCAGCCACGACCTCTCGCCCGGAACTAAACAAAGACACCCCATCAAGCTGCAAATTAGTCTGATCTGATTAACACGAAAGTAAAACTAACCACTCGGCCGCCTTTTCTGTTTACTTTTGTAACCCTTCACCCTATATATTTGTCGAGGCTATTACGCGCCATTTGTTCGTTTCTTCACCTACACCCACATTCTCGTTCTTTCACGAACACCCAAAATCGAATACTAATTAATACACTCACCTTAAATGAAAGTTCGCTGCTTTATTGTGGTGCCAAGGTTTGCAGTCGTCGTTACTGACGTCAGCACCTGCACAAACACACAGTGTGAGACAAACAAAGACACCGATCGTTTAGTTAGTTGTTTTTTAATTAATTTATACCACCGACGACATTTTAGATGTAAAATACTCAAATACGCAGTCAATTACTCAAGTTCGTTTTATCTAAATCCAGTATAAATATATAAAGCTCGGATGAAGATTTTTACTTCCCGAGCGTAAACTAAGGAAGTATTGTAAAACTTTGTGTCTATATTATAGGACTATCATGTAGATAAGTAAGATACACTTGTGGTGTATGAATCCGTGTTGACATTCAGATTTTTGTAAAAAAATCAAATATGTATACTGTACTTCAGGGGAGAAGCAAGTTCTGTTGAAGTAACTTTGGACAAATTTTTGAATCTTAAAATTTAACATTTTTTGATTTTTCAGTTCTTCCATTTGACGATTTTTTGACGTGTAGATAATCCGATTTTTAAAATTTTTCGACATTTCGATTTCTCGGTTTTTCTAGTTTTTGCTTTCTCGATGTTTCAACATTTCAATTTTGGAAATTTTTCAATTTCTGGATATTTTAATTTTGCCATTTTTTGATGTTTGGATTGCTCGATCTTTCGATTTTACCACTTTAAGTATTTCGATTTTTCCGTTTTTCAGGTTTCTAGTGGTTAAATTTTTTGATTTTTCAATTTTCCAATTTTTCGATTCTTAATTTTTTTCATTTCTTAATTTCTCGATTTGTGGATATTCCGATGTTTCAAGTTTTCGACTGTTCGATCTCTCGATATCTTGTTTTTCAATTTTTCGATTTTTCGAATAGCAATTTTTCCCTTTGACTGCCTACTTTAAATATAATTCATAGTGTCCACAGTTGAACAATTTTGAAATAAACATTTTTCGATTTTAAAATTTTTTGATATCACAATTTTTCGTTTTTTTATTTTCTTTCATTTCTCAATATTTCCACTTTTCTATGTTGTCTGCAGTTGCCCAATTTTGAAATAACGATTTTTTGTTTTTCCTTTTTTTCGATTTTGCAACTTTTTGATATCACGATTTTTTGTTTTTTGGTTTTCTTCTATTTCTCAATACGTATTTCAATTTTTCTATGTTTTTGTAGATTTTTATTTTTCATTTTTCCGATTTTTTAATCTTCAGTTTTTCGTTTTTATATCACAAATTTTCGTTTTTTCCTTCCTTTATGTCTTCAATATATCTTCCGATTTTGTAATTTTTGGTTTATTCAATTCTTTGGTTTTTCAATTTTTAAATTTTTCAATCTTGCCATTTTTGGATTTCTCAATTATTGGATTTTCAGATTTCTTTAATTATAACTTTCTCAATCTTTAATCTTACGATTTTCCAATTTTCCGTTTCTTCACTTTTTCAAGGTTTTTGATTTGCTACTTGAGATTTTTACTTTTCAGTTTCTCAGTCTTTAATTTTTCGATTATTCAGTTTTTCCTTTCCTGAATTTTTCAAGTTGTTGATTTTTATTTTTTTTCCCAATTTTTTGTTCTTCAACTTCCCGTTTTACATGCCAAATTTTGGTTTATTCATTCTCTTATTTTTTCAACATTTCTTTCGATTTTATCATTTTTTGTTTATTCATTTTTCCAAATTTTCAATATTTTTTCGAATATTGGATTTTTCGTTTCCTGAATTTTTCAAATTGGTGATTTTTATTTATTTTTTCCCAGGTTTTTATTCTTCATTCTCTCGTTTTTACTTCGCAAATTTTTGTTTATTCATTTCCTTATTTTTTCAACGTTCCATTCCATTTTATAATTTTTGTTTATTCATTTTTCCAAATTTTCAATATTTCATTTTTCAGTACCTCGGTTTCCGAATTTTTAAATTTTTCAGTTTTTTAATGTTTGGTTTTCTCAATTATCCAATTTTCAATTTTTTTTTTTTTAATTTTCAATATATCTTTTTATTAATTATGCACTTTTTAGATTTTTATATTTCTCAATTTTTAATCTTACGATTTTGCAATTTTTCGTTTCTTCACTTTTTCAAGTTCTTTATTTCCAGTTTTTAGATTTTACTTTTCAGTTTCTCACTTTTTAATTTTTCCATTATTCAATTTTTCGTTTCCTGAATTTTTCAGGTTCTTGGTTTTTATTTTCATTTTTCCGATTTTTCGATCTTCATTTTCTCCTTTTTATGTCACAAATTTTTTGTTTTTTCATTCCCTTATTTTTCAATGTTTCTTTCAATTTAATAATTTTTCGTTTATTCATTTTTCCGAGTTTTTAATCTTCCATTTTTCAATACCTCGGTTTCCGAGTTTTTAGATTTTTCAATTTTGCAATTTTTTGTTTTCTCAATTATCCGATTTTCCGGTTTCTTTAACGTTATGATTTTCCAATTTTTCAAGTTCTTAATTTCCAATTTTCAGATTTTTCAAAGTTTTTATTTTGTACTTTCCATTTTTTCATTTTTATTTTTCAGTTTTACAATTTTTCGTTTCTTCAATTTTTCGATTTGCAATGCAATTTTTCAGTTTTTCGATATTACAGTTTTTCATTTTTCGATTTTTCAGTTTCACAGTTTTTAAATTTTCGATTATTTAATTTTTCGTTTCCTGAATTTTTTAGGTTCTTGGTTTTTATTTTCATTTTCTTCTTTTTGTATCACAAATTTTCGTTTATTCATTCCCTTGTTTTTTCAACGTTTCTTTCAAATTGATAAGTTTTCGTTCATTCAATTTTTGAAATTTTTGATCTTTGAGTTTTTAATACCTCGGTTTCCGAATTTTATAATTTTTAATTTTTGCAATTCTTGGTTTTCTCAATTGTCCCATTTTCCGATTTCTTTAAGTTTGAATATTTCGTTTTGTCGATTTAGCACTTTTTCGATTTTTAAGTTTCTCAATTTTTAATCTTATGATTTTCCAATTTTTTGTTTTTCCAATTTTTCCAAATTTTCATTTCGTAATTTTTGGGTTTTTTCATTTTTCATTTTTCAATTTTTCGATTTGCAATTTTTCAATTTTGGGATTTTAGAGTTTTTCATTTTTCGACATTTGTTGTTAATTTTTTGATTATTCAATTTTTCCTTTCCTGAATTTATCACAATTTTTCGCTTATTCATCTTTCCAAATTTTCAATGTTCCATTTTTCATTACCTCGGTTTCCGAATTTTTAAATTTTTCGATTTTGCAATTTTTGATGTTCTTAATTATCCTTTTTTCCGATTCCTTTAATTTTCAATATTTGGTTTATTTTATTTTGAATTTTTTTTTGATTTTTAAGTTTCTCAATATGCATTTAATCCTACGATTTTCCAATTTTTCGTCTCTTTAATTTTTCAAATTTTTCTTTCAGTTTCTCAGTTTTTAATTTTTCGATTTTTCAATTTTTCGTTTCCTGAAATTTTCAAGTTCCTGATTTTTATTTTTCTTCTTCAATTCATTCCCTTACTTCTTCAAGGTTTCTTTCAACTTTATCATTTTTCGTTTATTCATTTTTCCAAATTTTCCATCTTTGATTTTTCAACACCTCGGTTTTCGAATTTTTAAATTTTTCAGCTTTCCAATTTTTGGTTTTTTCAATTATTTGTTTTCGCATTTCTTTAATTTTCAATATTTCGTTTTTTCGATTTTGCACGTTGTCAATGTTTTAATTTCTCCAATTTTTCAATTTCTTGATTTCCAATTTTTAGATTTTTCAAAGTTTTTATTTCATACTTTTTCGTTTTTCATTTTTTTTTTTATTTTTCAGTTGTACAATTTTGCAATTTTTCCATTTTTTGATTTGAAAAGTTGAAAAATAACAACATTAAAATCGAAAAACGGAAAACAAAAAATTGTAAAATCGAAAAAATGGAACATGGAAAAATTGCAAATCGAAGAACTGAGAAAACAAAAGATTCAAACATTCAAAAACTAGAAATCGAGAAACTTAAAAATCGAAAAAAAATGGATCGAAAAATTGGCAAGAAGAAAAATCGAATTGATTCGCAAAATTGAAAAACTCAAAAACTGGAACTCGAAATTGAAAAATTAAAAATCGTTTAAATATCGAAAAATTGGAAAACCAATTTAATGAAAAATTCTAAAATCGTAAAATTGAAAATGCTAAAAATAAAAAAAAATGTTATTATTACGTACTTAAAGCGAAAACTAGAAAAATTGAAAATCAAAAATTGAAGAGACGAAAAATTCAAAAATCTGAAAGTTAAAAAATCCAAAATATTAAAAATTGCACCTTGAAAAAGGAAAATTTTGAAATTAGAACACTGAAAAACCGAAAATAAAGAAAAATAAACGAAACAACTAATTGAAGGAATGAAAAATTGAAAATTGAAAACTCGTAAAATTGTAAATCGAAAAACTGGAAAATGGAAAAATTGCAAATCGAAGAAACAAAAGATTGGAGCATTAAAATTCTAAACATCGGGAAACTTAAAAATCGAAAAAAATTAATTAATCGATAAATTGGACAGAAGGAAAACGAATCAAATCGAAAATTTGAAAACTCAAAAATTGTAACTCGAAATTGAAAAATTAAAAATCGATTAAAGATCGATAAATTGAAAAATCGATTTAATGAAAATGTTTTCAAATCCAATAACTGAAAAATGGAAAAATTCTACAATCGTAAAATTGGAAATGCGAGAAATTGTAAAAATTATTGTTACATATTTAAAGCGAAAATTAGAAAAATTGCAAATCAAAAATTGCAGAAACGAAAAATTAAAAATCCAAAAATTGAAAAATTACACATTGAAGAAGAAAAAGTTTTGAAATCAGAACATTGGAAAACCGAAAAATTAAAAAATAAAGAAAATAAAAACCCAAACGAAAAACTGCAAATCGAAAAACTTAGGAAACAAAGAAATGAAAAGGTTTGAACAATTCAAGTGGTGATAAAAAAACACAATTTATTTTGTAACTCTTGGAAGATTGTTGATGTGTACTTCAGTTCTATCGAAATAACTTTCAACCAATTTTTTGCAATCATATCGCTTTTCCTTATTTATCGAAACTAACTCGTGATGTACGTCAGTGGCCCACTTT